AATTTAATAATTATTTTAATTATATTTTAGATTTTTTATATTTAAATGAGATGTTTATCTTATATTTAATTATGTTTATCGTACTTAGTTACACAAATTCAAAACATTGAGTTTTAATAAGTTGTATTTATACACAAATTTACTTGTAATTTTGATTTTTAAGTAACATGCATTAATAAACAACATTTTATTCATAAAAAATGATTTTTAAAAGTTTTTGTCTAATATTTATAATATAGTATAGATATAGCAATACAAAGTTGGATTCACATGAGACCAAAAGTTTTTAATGAGACCCGTAAGACCAATTTATATTCATTGATCAATATTATAAATTAATGATCTAATAGTCTAAAGTTGCACGGTGACAATTTTGTAATTATTAAAAATTCTCGTGGCAATTTTGTGATTATTGATATTGAGATTGTATATCTAATAAAAAAAATGAGAATAGTCTTGCGGATCCCAGTCTAGCAATACATGTTGCCCATCTCATATTTTATTCATCAATATTAAAACTGTGTTTGGTTGGTTTTTCATTAAATAAGTTGTGAATTCCATTAAACTCCTTAAACTGTTAACAATTAATAGCTGATTGAATAAGTTAAATCTTATTAAGCTCAGTAAACTGCCAACAAATTATATGCATCATAAAACAACTACCAAACATTTATGATTAAACTACTATCAAGCCATCGTTTATAAACGATTAAATAAGCTGTAAGTCCCATTAAGCTCGTTAAACTGTTAAGCAACCCCTAAAAGATCATATAACAACATCAAACAGTAAATTAGTGCAATTCAACTATTGAATTTAGGGTCAAAAAAATGTGCACAAAATCAAGAAACTCACTCACCTGACCTTCAACTGAATTAATTCAAAAGAACACCAATTAAGCCACAAAATCTAACCTTACAGAAGATCAGCAACATTTGATGGCAGCTCCTCCACAACCACATTATAAAACTTCTGAATATCAAACAGCATTCTTTCATCATCCCTGGTCACAAAATTTATAGCCACACCTTTCCGGCCGAACCGCCCGCTACGTCCGATTCGGTGGAGGTAGTTCTCGGGTTGTGTCGGAAGGTCGTAGTTGATCACGAGTGAAACTTGTTGGACGTCGATCCCCCGGGCTAAAAGATCGGTGGTGATCAAAACCCGAGAGGACCCGGAACGGAATTCGCGCATGATGATGTCTCTCGTGTTCTGGTCCATGTCACCGTGGGTAGCCGAGACGGTGTGGTCTCGGCTACGCATCCTGTCGGTTAACCAATCGACCTTCCGTCGAGTGTTGACGAAGATGACGCTTTGGGTGATGGCTAAAGTTTCGTAGAGATCGCAGAGTGTTTCGAGTTTCCATTCCTCCTTTTCGACGTTGACGTAGAATTGTTTGATACCTTCAAGGGTGAGCTCATCGCGCTTCACGAGAATTCTCACCGGTTTGTTCATGAACTTCCTTGTGATCTCAAGGGCTTCAGGAGGCATGGTTGCAGAGAACACTCCAACTTGAACCTTTGTGGGGAGGAGCTGGAATATATCATAGATCTGAATGCAAAAAATAATAAGAGCTTGTTTGTTAGTAGCTTAACGAGCTTAATGGGACTCACAACTTATTCAGTCAGCTACATATGAATGTCTGGTAGAGGCTTAATGATATTGAAAATGGCTTAATGCTGAAAGCAAGTTTTTTCCAAACCTGCCCCACCAATTAAAAAACAAGTAGTTCCATCTATGAGAAAACTCTCCCAAACAAAAAATAAAATTCAATCTATATAGACATATAAAAATGCTAATTGTCCTAAAAATATTGTTAGAATGCCTAAACATGTCTTTATCAACTTATTGCAACATTTTGACATAAATCGCACAATTTGTTAGTCATATAAAACCCCTCTATAATTAGTATATTTAGACATATTTGACGTTCTATATAAAACTAATTTTGTTGTAGTGAGAAGAGAGTGAGTTCAGTCCTTAGGTGGTGCTAGACCTTAATTCTGAAACCATGTTATGATACAAAGAACTAGAAACTACTGATACTAAAGAATGTAAAAACACCTGGTCCTTGAAACCTCGCGAAAGCATTTCGTCAGCCTCATCGAGCACAAACATGTTAATGTAGTCGGGACGAAGTGATTGTCTGCGCAGCATATCAAAGACACGGCCGGGAGTGCCGACAACAACATGAACTCCAGCTGAAAGGATACGCTGGTCCTCACGAACGCTGGTTCCACCCACACAAGCATGGACCTTTACACCAAGATAGTCGCCAAGTGCTCGCATAACTTTCTCTATTTGTTGTGCAAGTTCACGAGTAGGTGCCAAAACCAAAGCTTGGCACTCGATTATGTTATAATCTAGCTGTTGAAGGATACCAGAGCAAAAAGTTGCAGTTTTCCCAGTTCCAGACTGAGCTTGTTGAATTACATCAAGACCCTTGGTGAAGGGAACGATTCCTCTCTGCTGAATTGCAGATGGTTTTTCAAATCCTACAACATCATTCCGCAAAATCATAAACCGCTTGGGTAAACACCATCATACTAATAGCAACCACATGACTTGGAAATCTCATAAGGTGTATATTCATTAATGAATAGATCAAAATTTTGTAGTGTATATTTGTTGATGAAGATACACTGTCTGAAACATCATCAATGAATATATACACAATTTCCCTCCATTTCTCATCCTTCATTTATCTCCCACATCATAAAAATGGGTACCCATAAATTAAAGAATGAGATCACATTGACTAATCAGGAAGGACATAAATTTCTTGGTATAGAACATACCGTATGCATAAATTCCCCTCAATAGGTTTTCTTGCAAACCCATAGCATCAAAACTATCGTAAACCTCATCATACGAAGTGAAAAAATCTTGCCCATCAGACGAAAGCCTGCATAAAAGAAATAAAACTACATATATATTGCTGCCCGACAGAAAGCTTGTACTTAAAAAAGAATACCAAACTGATCTCACTTAGAAATATAAGGATATAACATTTAGCTTTCACCTAGCTACAAAATGTCATTGTAATACAATAACTTACAAATCATTCATTTTTGAATCATATTGACGAGCATCAAACTGAGAACCTTCGGGTAACAGACCTGCCATAACTGCAACAAAAAAAAAACTATAAGCAAAATTCTATCCACTAATAACTAAAAAGCATTGACCCTATTCACAAGATTGAGGAATGGTGGGTTTAAAAGATGATAAGTGCAGCACCAATTATGTTATCCATAGTTCAACAAAAAGTCTCAACCATTGTTTCATAATAGCTCTTAATTCTCGCCACTTAAGTGTTGAACCACTTCAAAAACAGGCATCATTCAAATTAACAAGCATAAATCAGATGATATAAAATTAGTGAACTCTCCAAGCTCTCCTATTTCATCATGTGAACTAAACAACAAATAAAAATGCTTCTTCTTTTGATATATTAAGAAGCTTAATTAGCAACACAAAGCTAAATCATCTTAACACAATTCCCCTAAAATTTTCAACTCTAATTACCATCTTCAAAGATTCTTTTTTTGCAAATACATTCTCTGTTTGGAACAGCCAACAGTATTATCCAAAATAGAGAAAAAAAATCCATAATTAAACCTACTGAAAGACTCCTAAAGTTGTACATAAACTAGATTGTCGCAATTAATTTTCACAGATCATAACTGAAATCATGTAAACGTAATTACTTTTTTATACAAGTAATCTTAACGATAGTCTTAATAACCAACTAAAACCAAAAAAATCATACACATTTCAACACCAAAACAACCCTACGAGATTTATCACGTCAGGACTAAATTCTACAATCAGCCGAAATCGAGAACCTAACAACAATAACACGTTAGATCAAAATCGGAATCCAACATCATAATCTCATCAACAACAACAACAACAACAACATGACACCTGTATACTACAACAAAATTGAATCGATTCAGAAAAGGGAAATTGAAAACGATACGTAGAGAAATTAAAACCATGCATAAAAGAAGAAATCAACCAATTAATAGATGCAATAATGATGAATACAGTTATGGAAACCTGGAGATGGTGAAGTGAGATTGAATTGAAAGCAGATCGAAGAGAGGTGTTGAAGAAGATGAAGATGGCGATGGCAATTTTAGCAAACTCCTCGGATCTACGCCGTGGAGTTGAGAAACGAAAGGTTACGAAGAGGGAGCTTTTATATACGCTGTTTACAGAATGCAAAGGGACTTCCCATGTTGCCGTAATGACATTTTTACCCCTGCTTATTTTGAGTTAAAAAAATCTCTTTCTATTATCTATACTATATTATAAAATATTTAACAAAAACTCTTAAAAACGACTTTTTATGTACGAAATACTGTTTATTAATACATATTACTTAAAACTTAATATTGCAAGTAGATTGTGCGTAAGTACAACTTATTAAAGCTCCATATCTGAATTCGTGTAACTAACTGCAGATAAACATAATCAAATACACGATAAACATCTCATTTTAATTATAAAAAATCTAAAATATAATTAGGATAATCATTGAGTTCTAACAGAATACTTAATTATTATCTATATTATATTATAAGACATTTGACAAAAACTCTTAAAAACCATTTTTTATATGTAAAGTACTGTTTGTTAATGTATATTACTTAAAACTCAATATTGCAAGTAGATTGTGCGTAAGTACAACTTATTAAAACTCCATATCTGAATTCGTGTAACTAAATGCAGATAAACATAATCAAATACAAGATAAGCATCTCATTTTAATTATAAAAAATCTAAAATATAATTAGGATAATCATTGAGTTTTAACAAAATATTTAATTATTATCTATACTATATTATAAGGCATTTGACAAAAACTCTTAAAAACCATTTTTTATGCACGAAATGTTGTTTATTGATGCATGCTACTTAAAATTTAAGATTATAAGTAAATTGTGCATAAGTACAACTTATTAAAGCTCAATATTTGAATTCGTGTAACTAACTACATATAAACATAATCAAATATTTGATAAACATCTCATATTAAATATAAAAAAATATAGAATATAATTAGGATAATCATTAAGTTATAACATAATATTTAGTTATTATCTTTATAAA